CACAAACCAGACTTGACCAAGCAAAGGTATAAACCAAGAATCTCAAAAACTGTGTATAGTACAGGAATGGAAATTCCACCTATATATAGGACGCAGAACCTCAAATCTTACCAACCAAGTGAGCTCCTGCAATTCAAGCTAGCTGGTCTACAGGAATGTAACATGCAATCAGACAAGGCAGGCCTCTTTGAGATGTCACTGTTGAGACCAGTAAGCAGCTAAAGAAACAAAATGTTGTAGACTACAGCATTAGAAATCCCACCAAAGCAAGATTTCCATGGCAGAAAAATGTTTCTCCCCCCTCCCCCCAAAAAAAACAAAACAACAACCAACCCCACAAAACAAACAAACAAACAAAAAAACAGTGGACAGAATGTCATCAGAATAATATACCTCTTGTAAGAAAGTACTGGATGACAGCATTTAGTTATCCCTTCAAAGAGGAATCTAATATTACTCTGCCACTGACTTCTGCTTGTCTAGCTCAGCATAAGGCATGATGTTCACAAGAGCCCGAAGTGAGCCTCCTCAGTGACCCGAAATTAGCAGGACTCAGAGTCCAGAGGCCTCAGCTCCACTCAGGTCCTGTGCCTAGTGTTCATCATTAACCATGTGCCACTGAGGGCATGGAGACAGTCAAGCCTGAGCAATGCTGAAGCCACGTATGCCTCCTCTAGCTTTACCTCAGTCAGTCTCAGCACTTGCACACTTATAAAATGCGGGCTGCCATCGGAGGCTAAGCATGCAGCCAGAGGGGGCTTCAGACAACACAGTAGTGCTGGGAACTTAACCACACCACTCTGTACCCAATAACACTTGGATCCCCCTAACTTTTCTTTGACTCTTAGCATGAGAAGATGATGGTTAAAGATAAACTTTGGATAGACATGCCTTCTTAGTAGAGAAAACAGCCATTTATTGTGCAGATTAAGAGCAAAGGACCACTTCTACTGTTCTCTACCAGAAGAAAACGCAGCATACAACAAGGACAAAGCCTATTTAATATTTGTACATAAAGCAGACCTAATCTTGTTTGGAGTCTTCAAACACTATAAAAATTAAAAAAGCACAAGTTCTGGACACTAGTTATTATTTTCATGTGGTTACCAAGCAATTTATTATTAAAGATAGGTATCTGACCCTGTTTGCCACAACTGAATCTCTCTTATTACCACTTTGCCTGTCATTCACTGCACTGTTACATCCAACATAAGAGTGTAAGTTTCTTTCAGAAAACAACATAATTAATTTTATATGTGTAAAATGCCCCACAGACTCCCCTGATGCAATACTCACACAAATCCATTCCTACTGGGCTGATCCTTCAAGAGTCTGACAACAGTTATCACAAGTATATGTCAAGACTCGAGGAGGAGCAAACTTGCTGCACCAAAGAGAAAATCTAATTAAAGAATGAGCACTAAGGCAGAGCTAGCCCGGATGTTTTTGCAGCAATAATCAGTGATCATCTCTAACATAGGAAGTGCTACACAAAACACTGCACAAAATGTAAAATCTCCAGCTGTGCGAAGTACAAAAAATATTATGGGGACAAGTTTTGTACATTATTATCTATGTTAATCTAGGATAGAAGTGTGGGTGCACTGGAAGTACTACAGCGTACATTTTGCATGTCTGCCTGCTCTACTCTTACATCTGCCTTATCTTCTTTCACGCATTTTTATACCCTTGAGTAAACTCTGATTCAGCAGGCCATTCCGTATCATTTTCAAATTCTTTTAAAATCAGCCTCAAATGCTGCTATTAGAGATAGATATATCTATCTCTATCGAGGTGTGTATATATACACACACACAGAGGCACACACCATATTCACACACATACAGAGAAATAACCCTAACAGCATTGCTTCCAACTGTAGTGATATAATACTGTTTTCCCCACCAGATGGCAGTAACTTCAACTTAATATAAACCAGACTGGTTGCCACATGTACAGCAAACAATGGCATTCTTTATATTTGGGTTTTTCCGTAAGAGGGAAATGCTGTTTTTTCAACATGTAGAGCTATTCCAGTTTCCGTCTATTTAACGACAAATTGAAGGATAAAGTTTGCTACTAACAGTTAAGCTCAACTTTGATCAGTGTATCCTCCAAGATTCTTTTAAAAACATGTATCATCCCATGTTGCTATTTTTTCAGTATACTGTAATTTCATCAAATTTAAGAAAAATGAATGTTATTTCCAGTCATTGTCTTTTTTCCAAGAATAATTCCCGAACAGAAATGACTGGGTAACATTCAATTGCATAATAAACTTAAACTTTTACAATATATGCTAATAATTAAAATGATTAAAGGGCTCCAAAGAAGAGGGAAAAATGGAAAACATCTTGTGCATAATTGACAAAAATATACAGTGTGCAGACTTCATGGCATATGAAAAATTCAGAGTATCACCTACAGCAGAAGTATTGAAGGCAGCACATACTATATTACATGTAGGCTAAATTGCCTTTAATGTGGGAGCTAAAAATTTCTTCTACTGGTAAAAGTAGGAAAGTTTTTGTCAGTATAGTCCAGGCACTGTAAAAATAAAGTAATCTGGTGGATAGGGACTGCTCTGTAGAATATCCAGTTTTACAAGTGACGCATCCATAGATTCCACCCAAAAGATTATTGTTCACCTTTTATTTCTTTAATTTCTCCTTATTTTTGAAATAAATTTTCCAGAAGAAAATGTCACCTATTATAAAAGGAGGACTTTACTGCTATTCTACTAATATTAGTATTCAGAATGATTAAGTGGGCTTATATTCAACAGTATGCCAACTGCAAAGAAAATATCAAAAATGCATATTCTTGTTAATAAAACACACTCATCTTTCAATAAATTTATGACCAAATACACAGTCTGTTTGGACAGCTGGCTTCCACTACCCTACAAGCACAGATTCAGATCTTTTTTTTTTTTTTTTTTTCATGATTTTTAGTTTTTAGGTTGAAAGACAAAATAGAGCAAAATTTTCTCCAGATACACAAAACAAGTAAGTACAGTAATGGGAAGAAACGACCACAACAATAAAGCAAAAAAGATTACATGGACTTTGTGGACAATCAGAATTCTGAGGGAAAACAAGGACAGTGAAAAAGAAACTGATCTTAAACACATTAAAAAAAAATAAAGAAAGGAACCAAGACCTAAAAAAGATTCACAGTAAAAGGAGAAAATGTAAGCAGGAGGGAAACAAATTATGACTGTGAAGCCTTTGGGAAGAGAGAGAAGGGGAGCCAAAGAGTCTTGCCATCAAGCCTGGCTTTAGGAGTGCCATTGCAACGAAGCTCAATTTATGTCATAGAAAAGCTAGGCCTCTCTTACCTGCTCCAGTTGCAATAAACTGGTGAATTACTGCTTTTCAAGAAAACAGTTATATGACTACTTTCTACTAATTCAACATTAAGCAGCCAGACACACTTGTCCTTCACACTTACGGCTAATATTCCTGAACATTTAACTTTTCATAACCAGCTCCTCTACATAAATGAAAAATGTTAAGTCCAATTTACATGGATGTGTGTTAGATGCCCTGCATCCCAAATCAATGTAATTTGAATTGAAGACAATCTCTAGATAGAGTATAATTCAAAAAACCTTTTCATAAACTTGTTATTATGACTTGGTATGCTTCTGAGATTGTACATTCTCATCAGCTGGAAGTATGAGTAGAATCCACCATAAAAGTAAGTTATTCCTAACATCTGAAGGAAGAGGAAAAGTAAAGGTAACAAGGAATTTTTAGTATGAAACTAGCCAAAATGGTTTTCAGTGGCAAATGCAAACCTGTGTGAATAACCACACACTGAAAACCCATCCTTAGATCAGAGAGACAAACAGAATGAGTCATTATTGAAGTGGACAGAGTAAGCACAGGAATTCACCGTTCAACATAAGGTCCCAGCATAGAGGTTAGCACAACCCTGTGACGTTCAAAGCACCAGTAAAGTAGGAGTTAGACAACTGCCTTTTCCTCCAGCTGTAGTATCAGTAGTAATCCTACAGTAATGTTTAGGAATTCCTGTATGTTTTGAAAAGGATATGGGAAAAATAGACAGAGGTGAAGGAAGGCAACAAAATCTGAATACTGGAGAACATTTGTTACAGTGAAAATCTTAAGAGATCTCCAATCTATTGTAGCTGATTTGAACACATATGTAGGAGTGATTATAGGAAAACAACTACCATCTATAAGTGGCAGCAGAAAACAATTGCTCCAAGCTGAAGCTAGTCAAATTTAAATCAGGTAAATGGCACAATTTTTCATAGATTGTTTTAGGAATTAATCACTCTTGCTATGAAGATAAATAGTCAATTAAATAAAAAATAAATCCTTCCTGCTTCAAAGACAAAATACAAAGGAGCAACCACATAAAATATAAAAACTTAAAAGAGTACTACATGGTCCAATGGCACATTCTGATTTGAAACACTATCACTTTCCATGAAAGGCATGAAGTAATTAGCCACATCTGTAAGGAAAAATATTTTGAATCACATCAAGGTGATCCCAGCCTTCCCATAAGTGACGGAGTTGCCGTTTAACCTCCCTTAGAAACTCATGAGGAAATTTAATCTAAGTGAAGACAACAATGACAAAACTCCCATCAAATTTAATGGCACTAAGATTTTAGACTCAGTGCTGGTGTTGCCAGTGCTGAGTGACATCCCCACCAGAGTGAGCCTGCTGCACCATGCCAGCCAGGCTGTGGCTGTGGCTGTTGGCCACCACAGAAGGCCTGACCCTGCCTCCCTCACAGCAGGGCCCAGCCTGGCCTTGCTGCAGAGCCCTCTGCTGTGGGGATGAGCACCACGACTGCACTTCTTGGGAGCCATTTCAAATGCAAAGGGAGGGTGTCCTAACTCTATCCCAGGAAAGCCACTGTGGGATGGAGTGCAGCAGCAATGCCCACGGTACCATGTGCCAGGGGTTGGTGGTGGTGACTTGGCAACTGAAACTTTGGGTAACCGTCTCAGGGCTTACCTGTGGCTTGTAAAACAGCAAACATGGCACTGCTGCAAAACGGAAAGACACCTGGAAGTACACCTGGAAAAGATGCAGCGCATCAGAACAAGGATACAGGACTTGCGTCATAAACTGAGTCCCAGTTTCACCTCATTATTTTAAAATTAATCCCATTTCAAAGAAAGGCATACTGTCACATCCCATAATTACAAAATGTACAGACAAAAAAAAAAAAAAATAACTGTTTTTTTCAGGGCTTGATGAACTTCATCAGGTTAGCAAATTTATGGGAATTGTCATATACCAGCAACAAAATAAGTCAGTACCAGAAGGGAGAGTGCCTGACCCCCTAGCTCACCTGACTCGACCCATCCAAACAGTGGACCAGCACAGGGTCTGCCCTCAGAGCTTGCTTTTCCGAGGGCTGAGAGTAGGGTACAAAGAAGGTAAATTATTTTAGTCCTCTGCCATCTTCTGTCTTGTAGGCCCCACAGCCTTTCATCACGTCACAAAGTGGGCACTCTCTTGCTGGCTGCACATTCAATTGTGTGCTGAGCTATCTATGCAAATAAAGTCACGATTTTATTTTATAAAGTGGCAATCAACTCCATTTTTTAGACCGAATTTTAGCACCTGAAAATTCTTTTTTGTTAGAAAATGTATAGCTTGAATTTTTGCACAAAACCTGTAATTTTTCTCATTTATACTAACATCTTCACAGCAAACACAAAGTTGTGTTTAATAAAATTTATTAGGAAAAGTATTAATCTATAATCACATTTCTAGAACAATAAATATAATACCCAGGGAAAACACTTGTAGTAGAAGCACTGTTCTGGCAAAAGATGGAAATCCATTGAGCTCTTTGTTATCAACGGATTGCATATAGCACCTTCCTTTATTAACAAGGAGTTTTTTAAGATGTGGGATCAGTTAGTAAACTTGTTGTTACATTCAGCAAACACACATGATTTTTAAATGAGGAACCCTTTAGTTTCTGAGAGCTCAATTAGTATTAATTACAGGTTTAAAGAAGCACCACAACATATTCACATTGATAGTATAGGCATATCTACAGCATAATTACTGTCACTTCAATAAGTGCAATCATGCATACACATCCCCTTCTAGGATCAAAGTGGTGGCACATAGAGTCCAGGCTCCTGCTATCAGAGGCAACCATGTTTCGCATTCCCTTTCATAAATGTATCATTTCCCACCTTGCAAAGAGACATGTGTGGAAAAACAAAACCCGACCATCTTACTGGGAGGCTTCTCCAGAACACTACTGCTTTGATGGTTAGAAATCTTGTAATTTTCAGTCTGTTTTTCTCCCAGTTATTTCTTTTCCAGCTCTGTTCTTCAGATTAAATGACTGTTCTCCTTTGCTTGCAATTTTCCTCTTCTCACAGCCTATCTTTTCTCTTGGCCTTTATTTTATTGAAGAAAAATAAAGCTTTTAGTATCCTTACAATAGTCTCTCCCTTCCCACTATTCATTTTACTAGCCTTTCTCTGTTTATTACAACTAAATTCATGCTTCCTACACCTGGGTGCTCTGCATGCTAGGCAGGGGAGGTTGCTGCAGTGCCTCATATGGAGGCATTAGTAAGTTTATTTCACTACCTGAAAGATCTAACTCAATACATTTTAAAATGGCATAGACCTCATTTATGGACATATCACATTGGTGTCTCAGTCATTTTGGATGAAATTCATCTTGCCTAGTTTTTAGCAGCATCTCCAAGCTAGTCACCGCAGGCCCCTATTATAATTAGAGAGACACATTACAACATGATTCATCCGATCTATTTTTAGAGATTTCTGACTGGATGAAATCTGTTGTGCCCTAGAAATACTCTTCACTGACTATGTCTAAACAAATACCTCAGTTGGAGAGATATTACTGGATCAACTGAACACCTTATTTTGTGGTTTATTAATATAATCAGCTTCTTCCTTTTCTTTTTAAAAATCACAATGTATCAGATAATAGCAGAAGTAATCATAACCACAGGTATAACTTTATGCTTTCAGACCTCCTGCTGCTTCTACTACTCACCATCTCAGGTATGTGAAGTTTTCTCTGGATTATTCCAACCTGACCATACTTTTCAACTGCATATTGAAAATGGCTCTTCTAGTACATCTTTGAAACCCACAGTAACTAGAGGTAGCACAATTTCCCCCTCAAAAATCAAGCGCTAGGGTAACGATTTGACAGGATTACAGTCTGACAATTAATATTCCAGAACAGAACATGAGAAAGAGCCACAAGTATTTTAGGAAATCAGATCAGTTGTAATATTCAGAAGTGAAAACAAGATGCTGAACTTTGATCAATCATAAATAAAAGGATATAGACCTGGGGAAGTAGGTAGGATACTTTTTGGCAATCCATATCTATCAAAGCTCCTTAACTACATCTTCTAAGCAAGAAGCTTGAAACATTTGAATAGTAAAATATAAACATTAAAATCAAACAACCAAACACAAATACATATTTATATCATCTTCTTCTCCAATGGAACAGCTACAGAATATTGCTTCACAAAACCAAATTGAAATCGGAAAGAAGTCAATACTCTCCCTCAGTTCCATAGACAAATCAATTCAGTTACCATACTGTATGGTCTCACAGTGGATTAACATTTAAAAACTGACTACTGCTGAATCTTAAGAATTTTCTTTAAATCCTCCAAATATGAGCTATACAATGGAAAAAATGTTACCGCCACAGCAGTGGTTTTTTGCTTTGTGAGGGAAGTGCTAGTACAGATAAATAGATTTATCCTAGATGTTTTGCAGCAAGTAACAGGGTAGACTGAGTATCTCATGAATTTTGGTTTAGGCCAATACATACTCATGAACGTTTTCTTCACCAATCCTGTTTATATACAAGCATTCTGTGTGTGACGCATTTGGACAAAATTCCTTATGACAGGGGATAACTGGGGAAAGTTTTCATCCAAACCACTGTCAGTCTTAAGGTAAATACAAATTGCAGAATATTTGGAAGATTACAAGCATGAACATTTCAAACATGAGTTATTTACCATAGCAGAATGATGAATATTTTTCATCCTACTTGGTGCTCAGAAACCAGAACTCAGGATAATGCCCAGAAATGCAAACACCTAACGTCATTCCCTGAACCACAATACCAAAAGGATTAATTTCCAGATAATTCAAGCTCAAGGAAAAACTCAAGGTTAGAATTCCATAAACAGATGCTGGAGTGTGTAGGTAGGGATGTTCCCTCTAACATCACAAATCCAAACCCAGTGGATGTAAGGGAGTACAAGGGAAATGGACCACAGAAAGCAGAGAGGTGCATGTGCTCTCCCTAAATTGCATGCCTTGTTGCCACTGTCATAGAATAAGTACCAGGATAAATGGACAATTAGTTTGGCCCACAAGAGCATTTCTTGAATTATCTTGTTCCATGAATAACAAACAGATAGACTTCAGTATCACCTTGTGGGAAAAAGTTGTTTGCTTAAAACTGTTAAACATTGCAACTTAAAAGTGAGATCACCTAGTCAGAACTAATGAATGAAGAAATACCATGAGGGTTCGCAAACAACACACATTCAGACTCAAAATCCCAGTCATCGCAGGATCAAAGGTATGTCTTTTCACAGAAATATGAAAGAAATATGAAAGATTTTTTTTCAAGATGTAATTTCAAATATTTTTTTAATGTCAAACTATCAGCCATCATGCCCCTCATAAATGAAAAATCATCAGATTTTCCATTCTCTATAAAAATTCTATTTTCTTATGCCAGAGCTCTCATAAACATGTCCTTGACAGTGGCATTTGTTAAGCATATATGCTGACCTTTTCAAAGTTTCTCTTCTTTGAAATGACTGTTCTCGTTTTGCATTCTGCTATGTATTCTTTCACACACTGCTAAGTGCAAACTTTGTATGGTTGCCCTAGTTTGCAAGGTTCTTTACTCACGAATGTACACAAGTATTACAAGATTTCTTTAGAATTCTTTCTTGTCAGTTATGTAAAACTTCCAGAGCTCTTCAACAGAAACAAGCACAAGGTGAATTTCTACTCCTGTTTCTGAAACAGGATGAAATAATTCTACCAAAGGCATATATGTATATAAAATAGCCAATATTTATCCTGAGAACTCCTTCTTTCATGACTATCTCTTTGGAAGAAATCAATTAAGAAAAATAATGTAGTCACTCCCCAGATAACACAACATTTTAAAACCAAGACCAACAGTAGCTTAGAACACACTCTGGTTCCTCATAAGTCCTGTCTGCATTTTCCATAAAGTCATTATATAGCACACAGGAGGAGGCAAATGGTGAGAAGGTGGCATGATTTGCATAAGGATCTCTACAATCTCTTCTGAAAATATTAGAAAGGCAAAAGCAACCATTTTTTAGAAGAACTTGTCTCTCACATTAGGATTATGCATCTTCTTGAAGCCCAGAAAGCTAATCATTTCCTGCGCTGAATAAAAAGAACTGTGGCTAGCAGGTTGAGAGAGGCGGCTCTTTCCCTCTACTCCACTCTCACGAGACCCCACCTGGAGTCCTGTGTTCAGCTCTGGGCTCCTTGGCACAAGGAAGACATGGACCTGTTAGAGCAGGTCCAGAGGAGGACCACAGAAATTATCAGAGTGCTGCAACACTTCTCCTGTGAAGGAAGACTGAGATTGTTGTGATTGTTCAGCCTGGAGAAGAGAAGGCTCTGGACACACCTTATTGTGGCCTTTCAGTACTTGAAGGGGTTTGTAAGAAAGATGGAGGAAGACTTTTTACCTGGGCCTGTAGTGACAGGACAAGGGGTAATGGTTTTAAGCTGAACAAGGGTAGATTTATATTAGATATAAAAAGAATTTTTTTACAATAAGGGTGGTGAAACTCTGGAGCAGGTTGCCCATGGAAGTTGTGGCTGCCCCCTCCCTGGCAGTGTTCAAGGCCAGGTTGGACAGGGCTTGGAGCAGCCTGGTCCAGTGGAAGGTGTCCCTGCCCATGGCAGGGGGGTCGGAACAAGATGAACTTTAAAGGTCCCTTCCAACCCAAACCATTTTATGATTCTATGATCGTTTGG